TAAAATTCCGATCCTTAAAAGAATTGACTATTGATGATATTATATAAAGTATTTTCTTCTAGAAATAAATATTTTTTAGAAACAAAAAATGACTATTCAAAGCTTCAAAGTGTGTTGCTTGCTTTGATTTCCTAGACCCATGTAAAGCTTATTTAGTGTTCAAGAATGGGGTAGAAATTATTTTTTAAAATATTTTTTTTACTTGTAATATAAGATTTAAATATTATTAGTGGAAAGTCCTATATTTTTTTTTTTTTTGAATTCTCTGGAACTTTCCTATGAACTTAGTCCATCAATAATTCTGTTTGTAATTGTCAATGGAAAAGTCTTATAATTTTTTTCTACCTCTTTGGGATTTTTTGAGGGACTTAGTTTGTCGGTCACTTTGTTAGTAATTTTATCAATATTGTATTTAATATTTTTTTATAATAAAATAAAATAAAATAAAGGAAAAATTAAAAAAAAAGAATAAAACTAAAATAAAAAACCAAAATTTTATTATTAACTTTAAAAAATATTATTAAATACAATTTATCTAGTGCACAAAAGCTGAAGGAGAAGATGAATCTATATTAGAATCAGGTGGGGGATGAAGCAGACCACGTGTAATAGTGAGGATTGACAACAACTACTTAAAAACATTCATTTTATCCCTCAAGCTGGTCATCTTAGCACTAATTTGAGTCGTTTAAGATTCAGCTTGTTCTTATATAATCACCTAGATAACCAAAAATTATTGGCTTGAACCTAATTATGTGAAATCAACAGTCAATATACTACGGTCAGTTCGTATATCCTTAGTTATAATGTTTGACATATTGTAAACCCAATTTATATTACGTCAACTAAGCGATCCAACTTCCAGCCACAAATCCAGATAAGTTAAAGGATCATCCTCGTATTTCTTCCTTAATCAAGCGTTATATATTTCCTAGAAAAGAAACATGTCGGCAAATTTAGAAAAATAATAACTTAAAAGGATAAATTATTAAAATCTAACTTACCAAGAACTTCTCAACTTAGTTATCTACAAGTTGCTACATCCTTTTTCAATGGTTCTCATTTTACATATGAATTTCAACAAAAAGCTTTATTGGTCTTGGATCGTGTCTAAAAATCGTAGCCTACAAAAGAAAGCTACTACTAGTTAAACATTTTCTTACAATACAACAATTTAATATATATATATATAGCAAAATTTTATTATTTGTTCTACATGTGAAACAAATATAATGGATTCACCGGTTTACATGGTAACTGCAACACGAATCTCTTTGTTTTGGTTCTGTATGTTGGACTGCGACTGCCACATGAAATGCTTATACATCACATGCCAAATATAAGCATATTCAATAGCCTCTAAGATGTATGGAGGTCTAAAATCCCTCTATAGGACTACATCATCTTAACCTAAAAGACCTCGTTTTTTTGTATATTTCTTTGAATTGTTTTGCACCTCATACTTGAAATCATGCAATCTGATATGTAGAAATAAATTATTAGTTAAGATAATAAAAAATAAAATTTAAACCTTAAAAAAATATCACAATTTGAATTCAATGTCCTACTAATGGCATTGTGATTCTCCCATACTCTCCTACCAATAACGTTGTTAGCCTCTTTACAAATTTTTCTTACATGTTAATTTTATAAAATAATTATTTTATTATTATTAAAAAATTGACCAAATTAAATAATAATAAATTATTTTTATATATACTAACCTTGAACTTTTCAAATCATGCATCAACCATAAGCTTCTAATTTGACTCCATTGAAATAAAGGAACTTTCATCGATGATTTCATCATCGATGTTGTCCTGCAAGTAACCTTCATATTTGTATATTTAAAATTCCATTTTATCCATTAAAATTAATTATTAAAAAATATCATTTGCTATTTATTTTTTAATCATGCAGGAAAAGAAGACAAACTTAAATGTTGTGGTCAGACTTTCATTAAGCAATGTATTTCTCAATGTATATATATTGCTAAAAAAAAACATCCTTTTTGTGAGGTAATTTTACACTTGATGAGCCTATACTGAAAGAGGATGCTTGTGCCTTAGTAACTTGTTATGGTTGATACCTAGCAACTCATGATTATTAGAAGTTTTGTTAGAAGAATCAACAACACTCTTATCTATATTTCTTACTAATAACTCTTTTTTTTTCATTTAAACAAATCAAAGTATAAAATTGGGAGTAACATTATTATTATATCCTAAAAAGAATTGACAGAACTTCACCAATACACATCAATATATAAAGTTACAAATCAATTAATTTTATTTATGACTAATATTTTAAAAAATAACTAAAAGTTTTTATTGTTTCTCATGATTTTTTCATTTTATGCTCTATATATATTTAACAAACTAAGTGACATGTGATTTGAAACTAACATAATATTTTTAAAACTATATTATCTAATTTAAAACTATCTAATATTCATCCTTTTTTTTCCAAATATATTCATAAACAAACCTTAATTATTTAAATTTGGAGGTAACTCAACTACCAAAAAATATTACACAAATCTTCTGCAATGGAAGGATAACTCTCAAATTATCAACTACTAATTGACACATAATTGGATAACAAACTTAAATCAATAGTTGACATAACAGTTGGAAGCTTATATATATAATTATTTATTATTTATCTTTTTAGGAAAAATTAATTAATTAATTACTTATATATATATATATATTATTTTCATGTTTTTATTAACATTGTTAATTACATATGTCCATATCTCAATTAAGATGTAAAGTCAACCTAACATATATGGATAACGTAGATGAATGGAAAGGTTAACATTTCCATTTTTTTAAGTGAAAGGGCTAGTTTAAATCAGTTAATTAGTAGAGATTTTTGAGACACAAAATTTAATTATGTTACTATTAGATTAAACTAGAAGATTAAAAAAAAATATTTTGCTATTTGCTATAGTACTGTAATTATTATTTTTTTCTCTCAACAACATTAATAACCTTGATATTTGCTATAATAGTATAATTATTAAACAAAAAGATGGTTAATATTTGAAATACATGTAAAATATATGTAGCATCTCTCAACAAATTTTTTTTTTTGTGTCATCATGATATCTTTTTTCTAATGGGATGGTTACGTCGGTGATGATGATGAGATAATTTATCACTAGTAATGTTTTTTTTTTTCTATTTTTGTGTCTTGTTTTCTTGAAATTTATGATAATCATCTAAAATTTAGGAGTTGTCCTTTTCATTATTGGTTTTTCAACTTTAATTTTTATTATTTTAATTTTTAATTTTTATTCATAGTCTTTATGTAAACTTTTTATTTATTTTTAATTTTATCATTCAATTTTGATTTGTGATTTTTTTTTAAGTTGATCCTCATTTTTTTAATTGTTATTTTGAGTCTTTTTATTAAATTGATTTTTTTTAAATTTTATTCTTTAATAAAAAAATTATAGTCATCCTATAATTTATTTTTAGTTTTAGATCTTTTTGTATAATTGATTTTTTTCTTCAACCTCATCTTTCAATATTTAATTGGTTGAGGATTGAGTATCATGATTTTTTTGAATATGATACTTCTATTCTAATAATCTAGGTTATGACCTTGAAAAGTTCACGAGAATTGACATTTGATTGGTAGGAGATTGAGCATCATCTATTTCTTTTCTTTCTTTCTTTCTTTTACTTATTTTTTCTTTTGATTTCATCATTTAATATTTTTTTTAAATAGGCTTTATGATTTTTTTTGTTTTTTTTTCTATCGAATTATCCCAATCTCATAATCTATACCACATGTTTAACAAGTTATCTAAACCTTAAACTTTGATTTAGGTTTGCTTGCTAACTTAAGTTTTTTTTTCTTTATCTCTTCTTATCCAATTTTATCATTTCATATTTAATTGGCTAAGAATTAAGTTATATTATTTTTTCTCTACTAAAAAAAGTATTTTTTCTTAGATTACTGTGGGTTATAAAAGGGTTTGTTAGTTTACTAGGATCTTGTAATATCATGGAGAAGTCAGTGCATAAACTAGGGATTCTCAGAAGGAAGCGAACCACGTATTAGGTGCTAATGCATTGATGGATTCCTTTTTTGTTGTTATTATAATATTGGGAATAGGCTACTTGATTTGAAACTTGCTAAATTATGACAAACCTTTGATAATACATAAAGAGTTGTTGAATAGTCATCAATCAATATAATAACGTTACTTTCAATGTTATATATTCTCACCATTGTCTCCTATGAAGCCATCTCCCCAGACCATGGTGTTTAGTATTTATGAGTGAGTTCTGAGTTTGGATTAGTTGATCATTCTCCTTATCAGATGTTCCTTGCATTCGTGAATGGCGTGCTTTAGAATGATTTTTTTGGAGGCTGTCTGTTTTCAGTAGTATTACGATCAATATACAATAGAAGTTCCCTTCTCCAAAACATTGCAAGTAAAGGGAAAAACTTACTCTGATAGTTCCAGGATTTTCCATCTTAGGGATTTCCTTGCATCTTCTTCCCATGTATGAAGACAATCTTTAGGCAAACATTCAGAAAAATGGAATTTATTTATTGAAAGTATTTTATTGATGTTCTCTTTCTAGGCTGTCCCATGTACAAGTCACCTGGCTTTCCAGTCTCGACACCCTTGAATACCACCATGGAGTATAGCAATCTGTCCTCAATCAATAAGCACCCATCAACAAGAAAGCGAATGGGGTCGAATGCTGTTGCAGAATCTGTTCCAGATGCTAGAAAGTCTCGCAGCAAGTTAGCTTCAAGGAAAATACCAAGTAAAGGTAAAAAAAAATCCATGTGCCTAATTTATGTTCTTGCACATTTTTTATTCTCAGAAATTGATGTTTTTCTAACTCATTTTATCTTCAGGTACATCCAAACAATGTGATAATGCTGCCACTACTCAAGCAAATGTTCAGCCCTCTCCTGTGATTGAGTCATCAGCACAAAACGGCACGCCCACTGGTTCACTAGTTCAAGCATCCGGTGTTGCTAAGAGTTTGTTCAATCGGCCCATACCATTCCCTCCAACTAGTTCCTCTAATCCCAATACACCACCACAAGCATTTTCCTCTCACACTGACAAATCTGCATCTCCAAGGGGCATTTGTGCGAATGCTCACAGCAGTAATAACAATACTCCTCAACAAGTCACTCCTACCAACTGCAAGGTGATCACATCAGAGAGGGTTACAGTGAGCCCATTTAAAAACATGACGTACTACACCATGGAGAGGAATCAGTGTATCTCTTCTTCCTCTCCAGTTAAGACAACCTTGAAGAGGATGTGCAAGAGGGATTGTGTGAAGGGAAGGCTAGACTTTGATGTTTCTGATGCAGCAGTGAACTTGGATGAATCAATTGACAATAAGTTCTCTACATCTGAGTCTGATAAGGAAGGGGGCATTTTTGACTTAGACCTGCCTAACTTAGACATGTTTGGGGCTAATTTCTCCTTCTCTGAACTGTTGGTTGATCTGGACCTTGATTGTGAAGGAAATGCTTGTCCATGCCTGCCAGCCTTGGCAGCTTCTGCCGACACCATTTCTGGGTATTGGTTTTTCTTTGGCCATATTCTAATAACCTCATATTTCTCTACTTTCTTCTTCACTGCATTGAATCCTTTCTTGGTTTCTTTCCTCTGATATTTTGGCTTCGTACTATGTACAGGTCATCGCATGAATCTAGGGATGGTAATTTTGGGACTGATCAAGTCATATCAGAGTTTTCCTCTACCATGACTGAGGTGATTTCTGGAAAAGATGCGCATTCGCAAGGTAATGTGAATGAAGCTCCTCAACATAATTGCTCCTAATCTATCCATTATCGTGCATATATTGAGTGATTTGTTTTCAGGTCCTGACATAACAGCTGTGAAGTCCGTAACAAAATGTATAAGAATTTTAAGCCCTGGTAAATTTATCACTTGACGCCACAAATTTCATTTTTTATGTCACCTTTCCTATTTCTAGGATCCTTGAATTATTTGGCTGTATCTCGAATTGCAGCTAAAAATCAAAGGAGTTCTTTGGATCAGGAGAATTGTTTGGCAAGTAACTGACTGACATGATGATGCAAAAGACTCTTTAGACTGACCTGGTACCTGTATAGCACATACTGCAGAAGATACATTATCCATCTTCGCTAGTTATCTAGGTTTATAATTTCTAGATCCTCTATGGCTTTTGTCTATCATTTGACCAACCCTTGAATTCTTAGCTCACATGTAGTCTTTAGTTTGATGTTCTGCCTACAATATTGGTCATTTAGCCAAGACTCATGGTTACAAGCATTTCTATGCTACACAATTTAGTTGTATCAAAAGCTGATTTATTTCTGATAAAAAGAAGTGACGAATTCTTCTTTACATTGATTTTAGATGGGATTAATCTTATCAACTCTATGAACAGTTGAATATCTGCAAGAGTTCTTAATTCAAATGCCATTAGTATTTAAGCATGCTGAAAGATGGAGGATAAATGACAGAATAAAGATATCTAAGCTCAGGCCAGGTACTGGTGAAGTTTGTCCACTTCATCTGGGCTTCCAATGAAAATAGGTGTGCGCTGGTGTATCTGCCACAAAATCACAAATTCAAACCAAAGTGTCAGCAGTTGTTTGATGCTCAAAGTCAAACCAAATATGTGATTCAAGTCGCAGTTTCCGATTCTAGCACTCTGATTGGCAGTGCCATGGTTCTATCTCCACACAATTTTTTATAGGGTCAAGGTTGATAAAATTCCAATCTAAGATGAAGTGGTGAAGCTGTAACGAAATCAATACCTGTTCTGGCTTGATGTCAAGGATTCTCTGGTGACCATCCGTTGCTTTGCCACCAGCTTGTTCCACGAGATAACTCATTGGTGCGCATTCATATAGTAACCTTAAGTTCCCATTTTTGCTGTTCTTGTTCTTTGGGTTTCCATATATGCCACCATGCAGAAGCATCCTATGTATTTTCCCAACAAGGCGGCCTATATAACGTCCAGAGTAAGGCTTCCCGTTCGGTGGCCCTGGCTGCCTAAGGTAGCCAAGGTAGCTCTGCAGTTTACCTTCCCACAGGTCATAATTTCCTTCATTAAACGAGTAAATCTTTCCTTGCAGTTCAACTTCCCACAGGTCATAATTTCCTTCATTAAACGAGTAAATCTTTCCTGTTTTCGGGATTTTGATATCTTCATGTGTTAGTACAAACTCCCCGAATGCGGGATCCAAGGTAAAAGAAAACACCCCTTTCTCTATAGATATTGTGAAGACGACCGAGCTTGAATAGAGGCAATAGCCAGCAGCAAGCTTCTGCCTGGCTGGCAAGCGTTGATGATGCACCTTTGTCTTTCTTCGTCAAGCTGTCGTGTAAGAGATGAACGATGTGATGAGAGCTAAAATTAATGTAAATTTGCAAGTGCCTTGAATTGGCTATTCAGCACAGAGGTAAAGGGTTTGCATTTTGAGAACTGCCGCTTGTTTTTCTTGGCCAGAAAGTGAGAAACCAGATGACTTACTGTGGAGTCATCGTCAATATTAAAGAGGCATTGCTCGTCAGGGCCATAAATTCCAAAGACAGATCCAGTGGTTAATGCTATATCAATGTTGGCAGACCCATCAATTGGATCAAACACCACAATATAGTTCCCAGAGTAAGTTTCCTCGACAGCAACAGGTACGTCTTCTTCCTCTGATACTATAATCGCTGTGCGGCCACTTGACCTTAAACAATTGCAAAACAGCTAGACGTAGTAAAATGTAAGCTATGGTAATTTTCACTGACAAAATGTTAACTCACAAGTAACAAACTTATCGATGAAATCAAAGTAGAACCAACCTCATTGGAGATGACATCCAGCTTCTTCTGATCTTCACCTTGGATGTTGGTGGTTCCTTGAACGCCAGTGAGATTGATTATGCTCGATCGTTGAAGAAGGGAAGCAATCTGTTTACATGCCAATGAGATACCGGATAAGACCACTGTGAGCTCTGCATCAATGTTCCCTGCTTGTTGTTGCTTCAATAGCCAAGTTGTCAAGTTTTCGAGCGCATACCGGCCCTTCTTTCTCTTCTCTTCTTTAATGCCTGATTCTGCTGCTGTAATTTCCACAACTTTGCATCGAATTCCGGAGGCAAAACGCCTACCTAATGATTGTCTAATATGATGAGAGCGGTTTTTTATAGGAAACAGGTGAGAAATAATGGAAGAGCGAGAGTTTGAGAAGGTGATTTGTCAAGAGGAAGGCGGAATTGCCTCAAACATTGTTGCGATTGTTGGTTGTCTGTGTGTTCCAGGGTTCTCACTTATCTTCCTTCCTGCGCCTATTGTGTGATTGGGATTCATTCTAGGTGAAACTATAACTTTGTTCGACTTATGAGCCCACTTGGTATTGAAGCTGTCTTCAGGCTTCGACATAACGGGCCCTGCTCCCGCATGAAATGAAGTTATTTTACATAAAATATTTTATGGTAGTGAATCTTCTAATCAAGCTCATGTCCAATCATACAGTATAAACCTGTTGGGTTTTTTTTACCCCTTCTGAACTTGATTGCTAAAACTTGCAACCGTGGCTTACCGAGAATTCCTTGACGATCAATCTCATCTTGAATTTCCTAGGAAATTTCTCAGACCTTATGATAAGCCTTTCAACAACCTGATCTCGTTTGGTGTTTGGGAGTGTCTTTGTCTTCTTATAACATCCCAAGTCATTTCCATGAATCAAAATCTCCGCAAGCGTAATTTTTCCTTTTCATTTATTGATGGACTTGGAGTTCATGTTAGGAGGAAATCCACAATTTTTTTTAAAGAAAAAGTTCAGTGCTATTAATATTTGAAGATGAAATTGCCTGCTCTATGGCTATGTTCAGCTGCCGACATCATTGATGCACAGCTGGGCTATAGCAGCAACAGTTCTTCAAAAATTGAAACTCAATTCTCAGTGACAAAACAAAATTCATGTTCTTCCTGGAGGTCCTGCTGCAATGGTTTCCTGATAGGTTCTTAGCATCAGGTTTCAATCTTCCATTGCTTCTAAAAAAACGATTTGACAGTCATACACAAACGATATTCTGTGTTCTTAATTCCAGTAGTGTATTTATGAGGAATTGTCATGGCCCATGCAAACATTTAGCTTCTCAAAACAAAATGAATCTTTCCTCTTACATTTTAATCAAGCCAAATACTTCTCCAATTTCTCCACTTCCTCCACGCTCCCTATGTAAAGCGGAACACGCTGGTGTATCTGTTGTAAAAAACAATGCCTTAGTTCTTAACTCAAAGAAGAAAAGAAGATTTCACGAGTTGAATGAAGCATATTAGACTGACCTCATTAGGTGTGATATCCAGTACTCTCTGATGCCCGTCTGATCCTTTCCCACCAGCTTGTTCCACTATAAAGCTCATCGGTGCACACTCATACAGAAGCCTCAGCTTCCCATTCTTGCTCTTCTTGTCCCTGGGGTACCCATAAATGCCACCGTACAGCAGCGTACGGTGGAAATCACCGACCAAGCTTCCAATGTATCTAGCGGAGTAGGGCTTGCCACTCGGACCAGGGTCTTTAAGGTCATCAATGTACTTCTTCAGCTTGTCATCCCACAACTGGTAGTTTCCTTCATTAAATGAATAAATCTTCCCGGCCTTTGGTATCTGGATGTTTTCTTGAGTTAAAACAAACTCTCCATACATTGGATCCAAGCTGAAAGAGAACACGCCTTTTCCTATAGTCAGCACAAAAATCACTGAGCTTGAATACATGCAGTAGCCAGCAACAAGGAGGTTATTTCCTGGCTGGCACACATTCACAATACATCTCTGTTCCGTTTGGTCAAGCTGCAATCACCAAATTTTCAAACAATCAAGTTATTAACCATAGACTATCTTCTTTTTGTGTGTTTGATAAACTCATCTGTTTGTGATTGCATCAATTATGGATGGACTCACAGTGGAGTCATCTCCAATATCGGCCAGGCACTCGTCATTGGGGCTGTATATTCCAAAGATGGAACCAGTAGACACTGCAGCATCAATGTTGGATGATCCATCTAGTGGGTCAAAAACCACTATATAGTTTCCAGAGTAACTCTCCTCCACTGCCACTGGCACATCCTCTTCCTCTGATGCTATGATTCCTGTCCTCCCACTTGATCTCAAGCAGCTAGAGAACACCTGTAGTTGCAAACTAACTAATTTAAAAAAAAAAACATTTCGCTGAATGGTTCAAACTAGAGCGAATCTAATTCATGAAGAAGAGAATTATCTAAGACTAGAGAAGTTGCTCAATTGGACCACAAAATAGGAAAATATATACTAGATCGAGAAGTTGCCTCAATTGGACCACAAAATAGGAAAATATACGGTGCTGGTTTTTCGACTTCATTTA